CAAAATATAGAACATCAATCCCAATTACATCAAATTCATCTTCTGAAGTCAAATAGAAAACTTGTTTTTTATTCAACTTTCAAATACGATACCAAATGTTCCTCATTTTTGGAGTTGATAAAAAATGAAAATCACCGTAAAGCCACAGCGAAGCTTCGAATGGGAAACCATAATAGTTTTAAAATTGAGACAGGAAGACATAGCTGTCCCAAAATACCAGAAAATCTAAGAACATGTGACCACTGTGGGTCACAATACATAGAAAATGAAACACATTTTTTATTCCATTGTATATTGTATAACCAAATTAGAACTACTCTATACAATGATATGAACAATCGATATCAAAACTTCAGAAAAATGAATACTACGGATCGAAAAAGTTTTATTCCTATTTAACAATGTTGATCCTTTTGTATGCAAAAAAATTGCATGGTTCGTCTCCGAAGCTTTTGCAATAAGAAAAGACAATTTATTACTGTAAATAACCCCTTTGGGCTTTACTAGTTAAAATTAAAACTGTTATTTATACGTAGCCGTAGGGCCAATTTAGTATAGTTTTATTGTTATTTTGTTATTTTGTTACGTAGTCGTAGGCAATACCATTTATGTATATGGGAATGCTTCCCAATAAATTGTTATTGTTGTTATTGTAATCGGGGCCTTAATGGCATGTTTGATTCATGAATGTCAGGTAAAATTCAAGGGAATTGTCAGTGTCAGTAGGGTATAGTAATTTATAGTGATCAGTTTTTTCATGTTTGAGATGCATACTGGGACAATATATCCTATCCCATCATGCACAATTTTCCGAAACTTCATTTCACCGCATCGTTACAAAATTCCCTAAAATCAGGCTTCAGATAGTTGCCTACCAAACAGGAAATCGTTGTTAGGTTTTTCTGTGGAATGTTGGTACTTATGTGGGGATTATAACTAAACCCGGCTAGGGTTATACTGTCAAATTATTTAATATCAAATCATTCAAATGTTATCAAATGTCGCTATTTGTGAACTCTCTGACTATATTTGCTTTCAGGAAGCGACAAATATTTTGTTTTAATTGTTGCGTGCAAGCGTGTTACATAATTCTAGCGTTATAAACTGACTAAGCATACATACAAATGTACAAATTGGTCAAATAAAACTATTTATTAATATGATCTGTCGCAAAAATAAACTGTCTATCGCAAAAAATTCTTCGCAACCGTGCCTTGTGTAAGTTACTGTTGAGCTAGATTGAATGAATTTGTATAAAAATACACATTGAAATTTGTAAGATTTATTGTTAAGCTGAAGCTCTCAAAACACTTCAAAATTTAACTACAATCAATTACGTCATATAATACTAAGCCACTGAGCAGATAGCCATGGAATAGAAAGTTTACATCTTTGACAGTCTTAACAAGTTAGCCAATCAATATTTTCCCACCACCCACAAAAATTTCATTGCAAAAAGGATTTCCGCAGCTTAACTTAAGCTCGCTATTATCTTGCCCCCACCTTCAGCGTTTGACGTAAACCAGACACAACGCAGCACTGCGTCGCTCAGCGTGCGAGGCCCAGAATGCGGCTGGAAATCCTTTTTGCAATGAAATTTTTGTGGGTGGTGGGAAAATATTGATTGGCTAACTTGTTAAGACTGCCAAAGATACAAACTTCCAATTCCAGTTCATTTTCAGGTTTAAAAGTGTTAAAAGACCGTCTTATCTGGCTACTGCCCATGCCCAGTGGCTTAGTATATACTAGAGGTTACTATCGCAAGGAAAATGCTGCCTTACCCACAAGGGATCAAAGGCAAGGGAGCATACGTAATTTGCTAAATAAGGGCTGTCTATACGGATCCCGCTTAAACCACTTTGCCAGGACGAGATATAAGGCGCGATGATTTTGTAAAAAACTTTATTTTCTAGAGATGGATTATAGTTAACTGTAATCGAATGATTGTTCAAAAAGCTATAAAAATCTTGAACTACATGATCTTCTCTACAACATTTGAGTTCGGTTATAGCCAGCAGTTGAACTTTCGTTTAGCCTAGTGACTTATTTCAATACAACAAAATCATCCCAACTTCCATCATGTAAACAGCCCAGAGTATGCCCGTTCACAGGTTAGGTGTGGGCGGAAAAGACTGGAAAATGCAATTTGAATATCAAACACCTTGCACAAAGTCGAAGGTCAGCTAAATATTCTAATTCTATTTTCTTGGCATGGGTTTTTTTTATGAATCCCTTGAATGCTTATAACTTCTTGCTTTTGTATGTCTAATTATACTGTTAATGGTGAAGCTAGTCATTATTAAACTAAACTCTACATGTCCAATGATTCATTCAAGTATTATCAATGTTGCTATATGGCAATATGACATTGTACAGTATTCAGTGGCAAGCTAGCCATGGCAACTGGTCATGCTATGCTAACAAACCTGCAAATCATTAAAAACTTGCATAACATGACTTGTTGCTACAATTTCATATACTTTACTTGTATTAAAATTTGCGCAGTCTGCGCAGTACTAGAATTCGCGCAGCGCTGGGTTGTGCGAATTTAAGTAATGTGCGAAATATAATTCGCGCAAAAAGCTTTATATGTTTTAAGTTGTCCTGTCAACATTAAAAAAAAAAATGTCTTTCTCCCGGACAATTTCAGTTGGGATATTCTCAGTTCCACGTAGCATTCCGTTACGAATGCCTGCATTTTGCCACAGATCCTCAAACATTGTTGTCAAAGGTGGCAACGATCATATGTGAGCGCCGCATTGAAAGAGCCAAATATATTTGTGTGTTTTGAGATATATTTGTGCGTTTGAAACATATTTGTGTGTTGTACTTGTGGGCCACCGTAGTTTTATACCATTTATGAACCTATAATATATGGGAATGCTAATAAAAGATTAGTGCTATTATATTCTATTATTTCATGATTGACTCGGTTTTCTTTGATGTACCGCGGGCTGTATATAGCATAATGCCCTTGAATACCATAAAGCCCTAATTAGTCAAGGAATAAGGGAGAAAACTAGAAAAATACTTGTCGAAATCGAAAAAAAAGAATAAAACTTTGTTAGAAAACCTCTTCAATCATGAAATAAGTCAGTTAATTACCGAGAATGTCGGGCTTTTTGCTATATAAAGCCCTCGAACGCTTCGCGTTCTCGGGGCTGTATATAGCATAAAGCCCTCCTTCTCGGTAATTAACTCTTACTTAGGCAAATGGGAACCATACAATAAATGTTTTAGTTTTATTACATAATTTTGAAACCATTTTTGAGGCCACTTAATCGCTTTTTGATTAACTTTTGATAAAAAATACTCGTTATAAATACGTTAATTGATAGTTCTATTGAACAAACCCAAAAGAACGAACACGGAAAATTTCTTGCCCGAATTTAAAGCTGCGCGAATATGAACAACTGAACACCTTCAAGGCTACCCCTATTGCAGAACAACCGAACAATCTGCTGATGAGAAGACAAAATCTATGTTGACATTTTTGTCAGCTTCAGATGACCATTCATTTGTAATGATTAAAATTGTAGAAAGAAATTCTGAGCAGGTGAATTTATGAAGGTAAGCCGGTATATTACATAATGATAACCAATGGACATATATCAGATAGTAAATGTACAATAAAACAACATTTTGACTCCTTCTATAAATATAAAGACGATCAGTGGGCTATTAGAACTGCAAATTCATAAAATCATATTGGTTTCAATACCTCTATATCGAACACTAAACAGCAAATCTAAATATAAGTGCCTTCATGTATATCACCAGAAAGAAATAAAGCTATCCGCCATGAATTATTCAAGATATTGTCGATCCTTTGCATCGTATTAAACTGTATTAAATCCTGAGAAGAATCATGCGAGCGCAACACAAAATAAAATCGAATCAAAATCGAATAAAAACAAAGAGTCGTCGAATACTCGAGCTGAGAACAATTTCCGAAAAATCTTTACATCCGACGGACTGACATAGGCTCAGATTCCAGCCGTTGTGTTCTCGCCACTCGCAAGTGGGCGAGTGGCGAGAACACAACGGCTGGAACCTGAGCCTAGACTGACATGGGACATGGATTCAGTATGTTTCCCCAATATAACTCGGCCGGAGACTGGGCACGAAAAAGTAAGAACGTCATGTAACGTCAAGAATAGGGAGCTGTTTTGCTACGCTCCGCAGCAATGACGTAATTGATTGAAGTGCTTTGAGAGCTTAAGCTTAACAATAAATCTTACAAATTTCAATGTGTATTTTAGTATCAAATTCACGTGCTTAAGCGCGCTAATATATGCATTCCATAACAATAACGTGTATTTCAACTTAAAAGTTTGACTTTTTCTGGCGAAATTCTGCGTCAATTCTACACATATTGAAGTAGTTTTATACAGGGAATGTTCTTGGTACTATCCTAAAGCGGTAAGAAAGAAGCAGGACCTTAATTTGCTATAAAACTCCACGTTATCGGTGAGTGTTTCAGTATAAACTATTTGCATTCAATTTTTGTTCGAAAAACATCGCTATTATAAAGCTTCGTTTTATCGGAGCGAGATGGGAGGCCGTGTTGTACCTCATGACATCAAACTAATAGTGGTTAATCTGGTTGTGGTTTGTTCGCTTCTCGTGGTAACCGAAAGTGTTTCGTTAGATGGGAATTTAGATATAACTCCGTTTGAAAGGTCTGGAAATGTACGTAGCACACCAAGGCGCTTTATTTCCATGATATTAAAGAGATCGGCAGCCAACAGGTATAGCGAGAAATCTTCACTTGAAAGTCAATCGAGGGGTCGCCGAGATGATGACGAAGCCTTGGCAAGGGCTCGCCGAGATGATGAAGTTCAACGTACCAAGCAAGATGGGTTACGAGAAAAGTATGAAAAGCGGTTATTTGAGAGTTTGAATATTAATATCGGCACAGTTGAAGCAACACGGCTGTATGTCCCTGAGTATATACAAGATGACACGACAACAGGATCCCCGAAAGCTTTTAATATCGAAGTTGGTACGGTGGTTGGTAAAGTACGTAAGCTGTTTCCGCACGGGAAACAGTTGATGGTCTGGCCGTACGCAGGGTGGCGGAATTTTACAGTTGATGAGAACACTGGCGAGATTAGGACAACCGCCAAAATGGATTTTGAACTGATCTGGTTGTATAACATGACGATCCGTGATTTTAAGCATAATTACAGTGACCCTGAGCCATTGCGACAACCACCAATGCCAGATCCTTTGCCAGAACCTGACCCAAAAACAGATTATGTTGATCATTATTTGATTATTGAAGTCGTTGATCGGAACGACAATGTGCCGAAATTCATCCGTGATACAACCGGAGGTGGTTTATTCACTGGACAAGTGAACACAAACGCTCGTGCAGGAACGCCTATACTTCATATACACGCTGAAGATGACGACAGTGGACCAAGAGGTCGGATACGTTTCAACATAAAAACTGATGATGGAAAACAATCTGATTTTACCATTGATCCTAAGACTCATTTTTTGAAAACAACTGGGGGTAAAAAGCTTCGGAGTGGGGACTACAAAGTAAATGTCGAGGCACTTGATTACGGAAAGCCACCAAAATCAAGTGGTTTTCAAGAATTCTTAGTCCGTGTTCGAAAACTCCAACCTGAATTCTTTGGCATTCCATATAATCTTAATTTCTCCGAGGCAAGTGTCTGCGGTAGTGTTGTGGCGACAGTTGAGGCAACAAGTAGATCAGGTATGCCAATTAAATATGAAATACTTACAGCTAATGTTAAGAACACGTTTGCAATCAACCACCTTGGGCAAATAGCACTCTTACGTAAGCTTGATTATGATACGGGTGACAGCTCCGACAAAATGTTTACATTTGACGTGCGTGCAACTGAAGATGCCTATGAAGGTCGTTCGACAGATGCTGTTGTGAACTTAAAGTTAGTAAATGCTGATAATCATCTAGGAATGTTTAAGACGCCAGCCAAGCAGCTTCAGTTTGAAGAGGGTTCGTTTCGTGCAGGTGGAGACATTTATAAAGTTGATGTGGAGGACTGTGATTGTAAAGAAAACTGTGAATGTAAGACAGGCGAAATGATTTACAAAATCGGCGATACGGAAGGGTTCTTTGATGTAACGAGCGGTGGACAAATTCGAAACATTAAAAATTTAGATTACGAGAAGCGGAATTACTTCTTCTTTCCAGTTCAAGTCATAGATCCTGGGACAAATGGCCGCACAAGGACATCTTATGTTGAGATAACTATTTTGGACGTTGATGATACCCCACCAAACTTCCCAACACCCAATTATGATTTTTCTATCTTTGAAGATGCACCAAAAAATCAGGTCATTGGTGTTGCACAAGCCTTAGATCCAGATCCAGCCACGAAACCTGATGATATTACATACAGTATCACTAACGCAGATCCTGTCGAGGGAAGAGAATACTTTACTGTCGGAAATCAAGGAGTTATAACAGTTCTTAAGAACACCAATCAATTTCGAGGCTTTGATGCTTATGAATTCACCATCACCGCAATTGATAAGGGAAACCATCGATCAGATCCTCCGGCGACTGTTAAAATTCGTGTCCTTGATGTTAACGACCACCAGCCTGTTTTAAAAGAGTGTAGGGAGAAAAGTATCAAAGAAAAACAGCCTATAGGCACTGTATTGACAACTTTAACTGCAACAGATGAGGACAGAGGTGTGAATAAATTGATTGAATATAGCCTTGCGACGGTGCAGAAACACAATTTCTTTAAAATTAACAATCAAACTGGTGTTGTAAGTACAATTGCAGTGCTTGATAGAGAACAATATGATGAAGTCTTTGTGGTTGCCAAGGCAACAGATGGTGGTGCTGACAGAAGTGAACCGCTGAGGCAAGTTGGCTATTGTCAGTTTATCGTCAAAGTTGAAGACGTGAATGATCATCATCCCATGTTCACCGTTCAAACATTTAAAGTGAACGTTTTACGGACATTAGCCATAGGAGAGACGTTGCTTCAAGTGGAAGCTGTAGACCCAGATCTGGGTGACAATGCAAAAATTGAGTATACAATCCTTACACAGAAAACTGGTGCAAGAAATGTGGTGTTCTTAGAAGTTGTTAAAGCAACTGGTGCAGTGAAAGTCAAAAATAGCATGGCTGGTGTTAACAACGATGATGAGATAGTGCTGGTTATACAAGCTACCAACAAGATCCCAGTCATTGGTCCTGTTCTTGGTCCTCAGAGTGAAACAACTGTGAGAGTGAAGTTCTCACGAACTGCACCTCCAGCTGCACAACTAAAATACACGGGTACTGGAAGGGAAAATCAGAATGCTGGATTAGTTGTGTTCAAATTACCAATCACTGGAACTAATTTGGTATTCTCGTTGCAAACTATTCGATATCGGGATAATTTACCATTCCGTATTGGCTCAACATCTGGTGAAATTAAAACAACAAAACCATTGGATTTTGAACTGAAAAAATCGTACCTGTTTGCTGTGACGGTACATGAACAGGGTTTGACAGGATCTACCTCAATCATTGTTCAAATCAATGTTATTGATATTGATGACGTTATTCCTATATTTGGGAATGACAATTACGAAGCAACTGTTTCGGAAGCTGCTACAGGTGGAGTCAATGTCTTCCGTGTCCAAGCAAGCGGCCCTGACCCAATCAATGGTGACAAAATTCTTTACAAAATTGAACCAAAACTTGATTCTAAAACATTTACAGTATCGGACATGACAAATTTTGCTCAAATCAAGACTGCGCCTGGACTTAAAGTAGGAGATTTTTATCGAGAAAAGAAAGCTGTTTACACAATTGTTATTGAAGCATTTCGACAAAGTTCTCCTAGTTTAAAGAGTACAGCTATACTGGTCATTCATGTCCGTGATGAGAACAACTCTCCACCTATCTTTACAAAGACAGATTACAAGGCTGCAGATATCCCAGAGAACATTCCTGTGCCATATATCGTACCTAATCTTGTTCTCAATGCTACGGACAAAGATATTTTGGAAAATGGTGATGTATATTATTTTATTACTTCTGGTAACGATGGTCGATTCACCATGGAAACAATTGTTGGGCAGGATCGGAAAAATACTGGTCGACTGATTGTTAGTCGTCCATTGGATGCCAAAAAGTCACCAGAATTTGAAAAAAATCCCGTGTATACTTTGACGGTGACAGCCACAGATCATAAACACACAGCAACCGCTACAGTAACTGTGAGGGTAAGTTTATTTTGCTTTATTTCATTATGGAAACTATTAAATTTAATGTTTGAATAGGGTGTGGTGATTAATCGATAAAATAGAGAAAAAATATGTTTTTTGAAAAGTGATTCAACCGATATTGTTCTATGCAAAACACCAGAAAAAAAAACCTGTTTAAAACTCCATCATATTGAAACAAATAACAGTAATTCCACTCATTTGTGGAAAATTGCGAAGCATTGAAGCTAAGCAGATAACACATTGGATTAGTTCAACAGAAGGCGGACACAAAAACGGCAAGCTAGGTAGAAAAACAGTGTACGACTCGAGTATATTTTGACATCAGCTTTAATTTTTTTTCAGATGGTTTTCAGTTTTCACCCTGAACCGCCTCACCCGTTTGAATAACAATTTTAGATGTCTGGTCATTATACTTGATTGATTGTGTAGTATCAATCATGTTCATAATCTTTTAAATTTAAAAAACATTTCCCCACAACGCAAGAAATGTCTATTTAGGGCGCTTTAATTAGCCATTCCGAAGTTGATGAGAGGACTGGGAACGAGTATTAAAAAGTGCCCAAATTAATATATGAACCAAATCACCAAAAAGACCACCTCAAAATTTAATAAGTATGCAAAAATTGTGAAATTACTGATTGAACACTGTTTTTGGGACGCGCATCCCCCAAAACAAAAATTACAGTACAGTTCATAGTAAATATCGCAATTTTCGAAAGCTCAATATTCGAAGGGTATTCATGCAACACTCTTCCCCAGTTCTCTCATCAACTTTGGAATGGCTAATTGAGGATTGTGCTCTCGTATCCGTCAAGAAGTTGTGTGTTTCACGACCATGTTCTTGTTGAGAGGCCTGCTTCTTGTGTTGGGCGCACGTCAAAAATGACTCTGCACACATCACTTTAAGCCACAAGAAAATGCTATTTTATTTTGTCTGATGTCAGATATCCCTTTTCCCAGATCCAAGATCGTCCTGACTCAAAGCCAGAATTCCTAGAACCCTACTATGAGAAGCATCTGCCTGAAAATGCAGGCCCAGGCCTTCCAGTTGTACAAGTAAAAGTTCGAAAACCTGAAGATCTTCAAGCTGTGATACGCTACAAACTGGATGAGAAGGCAGTACGATATTTTGAAATAAACGAAGAGACTGGGATGATCAAAACTGCTGGTGATCCGTTGGACTGGGAGATCACACCTGTAATTACATTCCCTGTTTACGCCTATGAACGTCGCAATCCAAACATTACCGGTCAAACCGTTGTCAGAGTTGTGGTAAGTCAAAATATCATATCACTACTAGTTGATTCAAATTATTTTGCCACCCACTTAAGCTAACAATTTTACCTCACTACCCCCCTCCCTGCCCCCTTCCAGCAAGTACATATATCACCCCCGCAAAAAACTAGTTTGCTTCCCCCTCAAGTAATTCATTTTACACCCCTCCCCACCTTACAGTAAACTGCATGTTCAGCCCAACAGTAAACCATTTTGCCCCCTCTCCCCAAGTAAAGTAGTTAGCTGCCCAGAAAATTATTCACTCTCTCTTGAAATATGATTGACTGTTAAGTTCATCCTTGTAGATTAATGACGTGAACGATGCATCCCCAGTATTTCCGGATCAATCCTATGTTGGTTATATTAAAGAGAATATGCCTGCTGGTACATTGGTCAGGTGCATTAATGGTATCGATCGTGATAATCCTGATGTCAATGATGGCAGAAATGTGAAACTGACGTACGAGCTGCTCACAAATACTGGAGAAGATCCATTCGACAAGGATGGCAAACTGTTTACGTTTGACAGCAGTGGTCGACTCAAAACGAGAGTCAGACTAGACGCTGAAGAATTTCGACGAAACTTATCGATTCGTATCCGCGCATGGGATGATGGTAACCCACGGTTATGGGGCGAAACTAATGTTACAATAGTTATCCGCGATGAGAATGAATTTCGAGCATGGTTCCGAAAACGCAACTACGAAGCAACTGTTTCTAAATCACGACCTCCCGGTTATGTTGTGTTACAGCTGACCACAAAAGATCGTGACTTTGCCCCACCAAATAACTACGCCTTCTCATTAAAGAGTGGCAATCACCCGTACGCGTTTGATATCAACCAGGAAACAGGTGAAATAGTCGTTGCGGGCGTTCTTGATATTGAAAAGACAAACAAGAAAGTATACACACTTACTGTTGGTTTGAAAGAAAGAAACGATGAGTTATTAATTCCTGATGCTGTTGGTTTACAAAAAGCATTTGAAGACACAGCCACGGTTAAGATTACGATCACTGAAGGAAATGACAATCGACCAACTTTCACGAAATCTGACAAGACGTATGAAATAACAATCCCAGAAGATACCCCTGTGGGAACGAAACTGAATCTCGGGATTGTAGCCACCGATGACGATGTAGGATTCAGTACCAAGTTCAGGTCAGTTGACACACTTTGCAATGATAATTACTTATTAGAATGGAATGATTAAAGGTAGTGCTTTCTAATCATCTTCCTTGCTGCTAAGTGCAGAATTTCAAAGGAAGCTATTCGAAGTTTTACTGAGATGCCTCTGACCACAGTTAAAACTGCAACTATACCACCCATGTCTCTCATTGTCTGATCTTGGAGGACAGATACAACCTCGTTCCCAGGCTCTTACCTCTTGTGGAGGAAAGACCTGGTAGGAGTTGGTCACGTGATCTGCTAGAATCTAGCTGATTTTAAATTGATGATGATGACGATAAATATTTGATATATTGCAAGTTTGATTTGATTTGATTTTAAAGGAATCCAAAATATTTTATTAGGAATCTGCTAGATTTTAGTAGATCACGTGACCAGCTCCTACCATAGAGTTCACAGGTCTTTTTTCCACAGGAGTCTGGAAACGAGGTTGGGACAGATAATGTGGAAGGGTGTTTTTTGGTGAGAGATGAAACGGGAACTCGGAGACAAACCCTCGAGCTCAATACTTTCCCAAGACTATTATGTATTCCAGTTGATAAAACATAGTTGCAACACTCGTCAAATCTTTATTTTCGTTAATCTAGAGCTTGAGTTGTTTCCCGTAACAATTCGTGACTGCCAAATCTCATCACCTCTCGACAATACACCCTTTCAGTAATTACGTCACACATACTTGTTTGGTCGTGGAGCTTTAATGGCGATTAATTGGCTCACGATTCATGAGAGCGAGCTTCCCAGGCCACATGACGTAATTATCAAAAGGACGTATTCTCGTCACCTCTCAGTAATTCTCGGCACCTCTCACCCTTGTTTGTCTGGGGCTTTATTTTTTTATCAGGTTTGCGATCACATCAGGAAACGTCGGTGATTGGTTCGTAGTGGCTAAACCAAGCAATAACTCAAACAGGGCCGATGTTATCATTCAGTATCCACTGGATCGAGAATTTAAAGAAGTCTACCAGATGCAACTGGTTGTTATAGATAAAGGCGGGGTTTCAGGTTTGTGTTCGAATTAATGCTGTGCTTTTATGCAGTTGCGGATCTAGCCTGATTTGATAGATTGGTATAGGGTTTTTCAAGGGGTGTATATTATTATGGTGGTCCGGGGTCATTCTCTCTCAGAAAATTTTTGAAATTTGAAGTCCTGGAATGCGATTTCCTGCATTCTGAGCACTGCGTTTCAGGGTGTCCACGGGCCTTAAATCCTGGAGAGTCCTTGAATTGGAAAAACAAAATTCCAGGACTGGAAAGTCCTTGAAAATCATTCGAAGTCCTTGAAAGTCTTGGAATTAATTTTCTTAATCTCCAGCTATGCCAACATGAACATTAGTAATATTGATTAAAATTACTAAATAAAGTGAATTATCTACGGCAAATCCGTCCCATTTTCAAAGACTTTTCCCACTTCTAGGTTTTTGAATTTACTGAAAATGGCCCTTGAAAATCCTGGAAAAGTCCTTGAATTTTACCTTCACCAAAGGGTGGACACCTTGGCGTTCATTGTCCAAACAGTACTTGTATTTGGGCAAAAAAACGTTCGGCAAAGCGTTGACAGATTCTTTTCTCAGATAAGTCCATAGCGAGAATCGAACTCACGATCTCAGAGGTAAAGGACGCTTGCTCTGACGACTGGGCCACAGAAGCCCCACACAAACGAATTAGTCTTTTTGGACTTCTCAAATTCATTAATAAATTCATGAGTTATCCAGCCAATGATAATCACCTATTTGATCACAAGATGCCATTTGGATAACCTGGTGAAACTTGATGAAAGTCACTAGTGTTTTCATCAAATATCTTAATTACACATCTAAAATTACTTGAATAGATCGAATCCCTAATTACGTTATGCTTGGTTAAGAATTCTTTTCAAATCAGCAAACGAAAACATTCTGTTACGTCTCGATTCATTTGAGAGGCCATATAAACAACTCGAGTTCGTGTCTCACCGGGATATCCAAACACTGGAAAACATGGCCTCTCAAATGAATCGAGACGTAACAGAATGTTTTGGATACCCCGGTGAAACACTCGCCCACGTTGTTCATATATTACATCCAAACGGACCAACGTTTCTAGATATCAATGTTAACAATGACAATCCATTACCTTGCAGACACAGCTTGGCTTACAATTACCCTGACGGACAAGAACGACAATGCTCCAAGGTTCCTACCTCCATACTATTCTGCCACAATCCTAGAAGGAATGTGTGATGCTGACACACCGCTTGCCACCATTACCGTAGTCGATGATGACGAGCCAGACCAAGGACCGTTCAAAATTGAATTTGCTCCAAATGGTAACCCTGGCACTCGATTTCAACTACGTAATCCCACCCACAACACTTCCCAACTCTATTGTTCTGGTATAATTGACCGCGAGGCTAGCCCAGATTTGAAAGTGGTCATCAAGGCAACCGATAATCCTCCACAAAAAGATTATCCAAAACTGTCATCTACTGTAAATGTTTGTGTACATGTTCTAGGTCGAGATGATGTCTCCAGTCTCACAAACTCCGCGAGAATGAGGGTTGTTTCCTTTACTGTCATTTTTCATTTTATGTGTTTCATTTTATTTTCTATACTGTCAACTTTGAATTACTATTAGCGATTATACAATTATTTTAACACGTACCAGTAGTAATATTTGATGAAAATAAAAAAAAAATCCAAATCCACATGGATGAGTGAGTTCTCCGAGGACAGTGGAATCACATCTCTTTTCAAACTGTAGGAATTATTTCCAAACAAATTTTACCAGATATTTTACAGTACGAATGTTTTCGGAATCTTGCTAATTCATACATGCAAGAGCAGTAAACGCACGCATTTCAAAGCGAAATTAGACGCAAAGGGGCAATTTTCCAATAAGATTTATCATTGGGTCTTGGGATAAAAAAATATGATTTTGAATTTTTTTGTAATTTGCATTGGCCTTGTATAAGTTGTATTGCATCTTATTCCTACCTAGGGAAGCCTCACATATCGATTTTTTCCACGAGAAACGTCATATGTTCGTTTGGGGGTGGAGGGTTGGCAGCTGTGACGTTTCTCTGTAAACATCATGGAAAAATTCCATAGTTTTTATCTTTGCAGAATATAAAAAAGAAAACAATTTGATACAAACAGCAGTCTATATATTCGTAATACCATACCTGTTCTATACCTATACATTTATATTATTACGCCTTCCTTGCATTGAAAACACTCAAATTTCAAGAAAAACGTGCTAAAATTATCAATATTTCATGCAAAAAAGTTGTTTTGAGAAACGTTGGAAATTTTGAAGTTCATATATATATTTATTATATACATGACAAAATTACTGCAATCTGATTGGTTAAGAGGAGTGCAATTATTTCATTACCATAGACAATCCAGAAGACAGGGACTGGAAACGCAAGCTAGAAATATGATGACAAATCGTGACATCCGTGACACAGAATAGGAAGTTATACCAGAAGCGTAACTCTAGTCGTTTCCCTTATTGTTTGACGTCCACGAAAATTTTTAACTCGCTCACGTCAGGCCACGCCATCCTGGCTAGTACAGCCGGAAGTTTTTATCAGGATTTGGTAGGTACAAAGTGCCGGTTGTACTAGCCAGGATGGCGTGATTGATGACGAATCGCTTGTAAAAACGCGGACAAATACTTGCTTGAGTTACGCTTCTGGTACAACTTCCCATTCTGTGTCCGTGATGTGCCTGTCACGTAGCATTACTTGGTTACCACGGTAACAAGTCTTTAAATTTACATAAAAACAAAGGCAAATGCGTGTAGTTTATGCAAAATATATCGTAAAAAAAGCGTATTATCTGAATTTGGGGATCGTAGTCGTGGAGCGGCTATACTAACAAAGGTAGATACGTCCAAATTTTCATTTATTTCTATTTTATAGTGATGCTAAATGTAAAATTTGGATCGTGCTCTCGGTAAATCGCGCACGCAGCAATTATTTCCAGAAAATACTGCCAAAACTAACCCTGTAACTACAAACTTAACCTGTTTTGTCTTTGACGATGAAGCCATTTGAAATCACAAGATTGTAATCTATCGAATAGGCTATTTTTTATATCAATTTGGTATCATATTCAGCCAAAAATGTTTACTGAATTTGATTGACAGAATTACGAATGTTGTTAGCCGGCAATTGTTATCGTCATATTGTTCTGAAAACTTGCTGGCAAAACTAACCCTGCAACTGAAAAATAAACAATTTTTGTACTTTGTGGTCAAAGTATGTGTAATCACAAGATTGTCATCTATCGAATAGGCTATTTTTTATATCATTTTGGTAACTTATTTGCCCAAAAATGTTTACTGAATTTGATTGACAGAATTACGAATGTCGTTATTAAATAGCCGGCAATTGTTATCGTCATACTGTTCTGAAAACTTGCTGGCAAAACTAACCCTGCAACTGAAAAATAAACTATTTTTTTACTTTATGGTCAAAGTATGTGTAATCACAAGATTGTAATCTATCGAATAGGCTATGTTTTATATCAATTTGGTAATTTATTCGCCCAAAAATGTTTACTGAATTTGATTGACAGACTTACGAATGTCGTTAGCCGGCAATTGTTATTGTCATATTATTCTGAAAACTTGCTGGCAAAACTAACCCTGCAACTGAAAAATAGACTATTTTTGTACCCTTTGGTGAAAGTATGTGTAATCATAAGATTGTAATCCATCGAATAGGCTATTTTTTATATCAATTTGGTAACTTATTCGCCCAATAATGTTTACTGAAAATTTGACGGCCCAAATTACTTTTGCGCCAACTAGAAGATGGCCATTTCTGTTGCCCCCACTTCGAACCCTATGTAACTATAGTTTAATTAAATAAAGTTCAGAGTTTGTAATTTACATATTTTGAACAAAAATAGACCTGTGGATGCACTTGTCCCGTTTTGAAACTTATATCGGGTCAAACAAAGCCAAAAACGTCCTTTGAATGCTTACGTAATGTTTTTGACTGTAAAAAAGTCGCCATTGCCATTTGTTAATTGTTGTCCGGAAAAGTTTGTACCGGCTAACTTCGAACCCTCAACTACAGTTTAAATAAAGTTCAGGGTTTGCAATTTACATATTTAAAACAAATTTATACATGTGGATGCATTTCTCCGGTTTTTAAACTTATATTGGGTCAAACAAAGGCAAAAACCACCTTTTAATGATTGCGTAATGTTTTTGATAGCAAAAAAGTCGTCATTGCCATTGGCATTCTTGTTGGCATTGTCGAAAGTTAAGAGTGTTAAACATACAAAACTCACCGTTAAAATAACTGAAACCTTGTTTTTATTTCTTTTAAATAATGGATGCCTTAGCAAAAAGGGTTTTCGAGAAAGAAAGGATTTGTTCTCAATATTAAAAATGGAAGGTATATTAATTTAAAAACCGAAATTGCCAAATTCAAATTTTAAAATATAGATCAAGGAAAACTTCGAAAAGATAACTTCAATCAATTTATATAACGTAATTACAGTGAAGCAAAATTGAATAAATATACGTAAACTTAACTAAAGTAAACTAAAATACGCAAACAAACCTGAATCGTGCCTGAAAGTCCACCCCAAATTGGAAATCAAAATTTTCGAACAAGCTCGAAAATTTTCTGCACTCGTCTCTGAATATTAGCAGATCCTTTTTATAAACTTTACACACAATGTGATATACCTAACTTCCTTTTCGGTGTAGATTATTTAAACAATTTTCCAGTATATAAAGAGCTGTAAAACGGCAGACAAGTACCGGTCCACAATCTATATCTCTTTATTTTTTTTCGAAGCAACAGGCGCCATTCAGTACGATTCAGTAATTCATGATCATTCACATGGCATGATTGCTCTCTCCTCCGCAGAGGCTTTAGGTTTCTTAGGATTTAATATTATGATGAGATACATTTCACTACACTTTACATGGCGGATCTTGGAACACGAGCGTAACCGCTGGGCGAAGGAGCGCAGGCGGCAAAGGGAAAGGCGAAGGCACAAAATAGAGAAGGGCAGAAGGTTCACTCGAGTCGGAACCTTTGAAGTTTTTGTGCCGGCACATGTTACTTCCGGATCCTGGCCGCCATGTTGAAAGCAACCAACTCTGGTCCAAACATTATAAACCAATATGGCGAAACTTGTATTTCATAACTTTAAATGGGTATATCGTCGTTATTTTATGGTGGATGTCATTGAAATTTTCAGGACGTACAAAAGAAAGGTAGATTATTCATTTTATTATAATAAAAGTTTATTGAATGATGCTAAAATTGTCATTTTAAACGCAGCAAACTGTATGTGCTGTTTTGGCACCGATGGATATATACGCATTTATATGTTGTTTTTCTGAGTGTAGTTTGAAACTATTGCAACTACTAATCCACTTAACTTGAAGAAAAATGCGTCATGTCTTGTTTTTAGAACGCAGTAGGTTGAATTTTTTTAATTTTAGGCGCATATTATACTGTGAATATCCTTATAATTCGTACTACTATTCGTATTAAATTATATACCTGATCAGTGAAAGGGGATGTGATGTCTTTGTATTGGGCTTCTTTTCTTAATTAACAAAAACGTTTTTGGACTAAACTAAGTAAACTGCGCGAGTAGAATCCATTTTCACCAGAACTGGTTTATAATTTGTAACTTTGATATTAAACTTTGATTGCTGGTAACAGTAATGAGTATGATATTTGTTCACATCTGTATCAAGCAATTGATGGTGGAGCAGACTAACTTGCCAGAAGTTACAGTTCATGACCCAAAATTGCAACACACCAATCTCATGTAGATTTACTCAGCAAGCACCATCTTAATTAATGATTTCACCTGTTATCAATTACCATCGGCATTGTTAGGTTTACCATCTTAGTGAAGGAGCGAGACTAATTAAGCTCCAAAATAATAAAATATTGCACATTCAAACTGTGTAGCTCAGTCTGGAATGCATTGGTCTTGTAAACCAGGGGTTGTGGGCTGCATTCTTACTGTGGTAAAGTTGATTTTTCAGCTTGCCTGGTATAAATTTACTCAGTGTAGCAACATATTAGTAATTTCTCCTGTGTATGATTACCATCAATATTAGATTTAACACCAGCCTTGTATCTTACAGTTCAGTTCTTATGTACTTGGTGTAAAAGATTTTAAGCAATATAACTTGTAGAAGTTATATTGATTAATTGTTTTGGCAACACAGCATATTGTCCAGTGCACATGGTTAAAGATGCGCTACCTTCAAATATTTTCTGTTCTTCTTTTTAGTGTTGGAAAGTTCACGATTGGCAAATTTCAAGCTGTAGTAAATGCACAACCTCAAAAACAATTAAGAAAGCAATTTGTTGGAACATGAAGAAAGCAGAAAGCAATTTGTTGGAACATGAAGAAATCAATTTGTTGGAACATGAAGAACCCAGAAAGCAATTTGTTGGAACATGAAGACCTTCAAATGTGTTTTCTGTTTGATCAAAGGCCTTAAAGAAACAAAACTGCTTCCTGTTATCATCTAGGTCATTACATTGGATGGCATTTGTGCATGTAGGACAGTTGCAGATCTTAATAGATTTATGGATCTAAACTCAAATTTATGGAACTAAATTATATGGATTTATGGAACTAAAATCAAATTAAATATGGATTTATGGAACTAAAATCAAATCAAAGTGTTGTTTACATTTTTGGGGTTGTACAACTTGTACATAGTAGAATACACTAGATGTTAAAGTTTCATTTACTTGGTTCCCTTTGTAAAAAACAACACTACAACTTACATGCACCAACATCCGATTTGTTGCAAGTTGAAACCAGTTTTATTGCCTGATATATTTTACTCTGCCAACAAGTCTTAATAACTAAGGGGCTATTTACATGAGCCTGACTAGTCCTGTTAACCGAGGCACCCAGCTTAATACAAATCATTTAACAAGAATCTGCCTAGCCGAGATCTCACTTGAGTCAAAGGGGACGCCCGGATAACCGGGCTGGAATTTTCCCATGTAAAGTCACCAGCTCATGTAACCTGGCTAGCCAGGCCTTCAGCCTGGTTAACCGGGCCAGCCTACATGGCTACCCGGGCTCATGTAAACAACCCCTAAGGTGATAGCAACAATAATATACTTGGTGCTAAATGTAACATAAACTTGAGTAACAGAGAAAATTCTCATCTTCAGATTATTTTCCCCTCATTGTAGAGTAAACTGTTAATATGTATCTTAAAAACTAGAGTGTATATTAGAATCTCACAGATTTATAATTTAAACTGTCATTAAGATAAATCAGGTCTTTTATTGTCTGTTTTGTAAATGAGGTTCCTTGATAATGTCAAAGGAGGCCTTGTCAGTTGTGACTTGACACACTTGTGATACCAAATTTGTAAAGTCACAGCTAAAGGATTTTAATAGGTTCAAGTCAATATATTATCCCTAAAATTTATTTTAGAAGAAGAAGTAGGTCTAGCAATTTCTTTCATATCGCAATATTATTTTATACGATTGCAGGCCAATATGCCAAGTTGAATTACACTGTATTGAATAGTTGATCACAGATTCACAGAAGGTCCGATGAACTGGATTTATTTCCTTCATTGTTCATGGCATTCACGTCCTTAATCTTTTTGTACACCATGAAATATCACCAACTTATCACTCAAAACATATTTTACGGCGATCGGACTAACCACACATAAGCTATATAACTTTATATGTTTATCACTATTCGCCAAAGACCGAGGTGAAATTAATCGATGTATGACAATGGCCAAATTCCACGCTTAAATTCGTTTCTCATCCTCGTAGTAACAATTAAATCAAAGAACAACCTCTTCTTTATGATATTTCAAAGTATCATGAGTTTTGCTTGGATACATAAAAAGCTAGAGCACTTTTAGTGGCTCTATTTCGTATTCCGCCATATTAACTCCTATAAAATTTCCTCTGGTTTGGTTGCTTTCAACATGGCGGCCACACCGGAAGTCGGCTCACATTCTGGCACACTTTTTACCCTTGAGTGAACCTTCTGCCCTTATCTCTTCTGTGCCCTTACGAAATTGGAGCCATGCATTAATGCACTTGAGTAGAGCGATCTCATTGGTCGAGAGCTCACGTGACAACTCGCTAATTAGCTGTCCAACCTACTCTGTCTAGACTGTCTGTCTATAAGTGTCTGTCTACATAATTAGCTGCACGTGTTAATGTAAAAGTTATAGTTAATTATTTCTGTTAAAGTTAATAAATAGTAAGTAATTTCAAGAATAAAATGGTAGGGGTAATTGTAACCCCTAGCTCAAAATATCCCAAACTCACGTTTGGCTCTTTCATTTTTAATTAATACGGCAAAACAAGTGCCCAGTAAGGAGCTGCGGAAATGCAAAATCTATAGTGCGACATGTCAGGAAATAGTATAATGTTTACTCGCGCAAGATGACAGACATAAAACACTCCATAATATTTTTTACACCCGATTTGACCATTTGCTCATACATTTATCTAAATTTGAAGGAAATCGGAGTTTTATCGGAAAGAGAAAATTAATTTTCAAAAACTGTGCCTAACTTAAAATTTTTTAACTTAAGGTTTTTCTTGTTCTTTCTCCATATTATAGTCAGTATAATTCCGCGGAAACAGAAAGCGCCAAAATAATTTTTACATTATCTTTTAGACCTACAGTTTCTCTTTAAATTCCCTAAATTTCAAGGAAATTGGAGTTTTCCCGGATACGGAAAATTAATTTTCAAAAAGTGTACCAATTTAGAATTTTTTGGATTGCTAACTAAGGCGATTTTTACACGCTTGCCTTGACTTTGAAACATCATGTTCATAAACATCGTATATAGACGTTTAAAAACTGAAAGTGAGGTTTCCTGCAGACGCGAACAGAGCAAAACGAAGTTTTCGAGATGACTCGCATTTTTTTGGCTAATTTCACGAATCTTGGGTACGTGTCAGGTTTTGATAATTTTTCGGCGTTTAAAATAAAATTTCAGAAAACAAACCCCATCACGTTTCTAAGTATACATTAGTGTATCACAGGACAAAATAAGAAAACATTTCATTTTTCATCATGTGCCACCTGTTGCTCGGTAATAGTGGAGATTCCCTCATAATATCTTATACACACAAAATATACAAATGAAAAATACGAAATGACATTGAATGAAGCTTGTCCCTAAAACGACTCAGAATCGTAATCATGACTGAAAACTACCCTTACTTAATTAATTCAGTGAAGGTTCAAGATTAATTTAGGATATATTTTTGCATATTAGTTTCTTTAGGACGTGAAATTCGAGTTGCAAGACTCGCTCCCGTTTGACCAGCTGTTCTCGTCGACTCTCGTGCACTTTCATCAAATCCCATACAGTTTGTCTTTGAGCTGGTTAAAATTTTATAAGAGTGTTCGCTCGTTAATATCCAGAACTCTTGTTTTTGTTTCATTGGGACATGAGAGTTGAGAAAACTCGGCTTAAATCCGACTATTTAATATTTTGAAACCCAATTCGAGGTGCGAGTTAGAACAAAATCCCGAATCCCAGCCAGGATGTTTTGGAAGGGAGTTCAGCTGTTCAGGGGTGTTAGCCATATTGTAAAAATTTCCATTCAGCTTGAAGGAGGGGCTGTGCATTAAGATATTTGTCAAGAGAAAAGTAATTTTGATAATATAACATTTTTCCAACTTAATAAGATGTGGCATTATTGTAGATTGAAATACAGTTTTTCCAATTTATTTCTTTTCAAGTTCAAGCTGGCCCAGTAATTCTAATTTCTTTATTTTCATGCATGATAGCCATAGGCGTACGAGGCGGGAGTGGGAGTTAGAAATATTCATTAGTCGGGAATTTTGTTCTTAAGGGTCGGGCAATCTTCCGATCCTGTGTACTTGAAATCAATTTGGTCTTTCCAAGAAACGGAAGTTATTAATACAATAATAGTAAAAATGCGAAATATTAATAACTTACTGACCGAGAGTGAGGGCAGTACGGGAAAATATCCAACCGAGGTCTTGCTGTATTGACCGAGCGATAGCGAGGTCAATACA